TATGTTTGTCCATTGATTCGTTTATTCACACGTGTAATTTACGATCTAAAGCTCAAACAGTAAGAATGATTTAGTTTTGATAATCCTGAGTTTATTAATATCTCGTGATAATCAGCAGTGATGCTCATGAACTAACTCAGTTATCAACCCAGCACTGAATATTAATAAGGATGGGGGGTGGTGGTGGTGGTGGGGGTGGGGGGGGTATTCCTCACACAATAGGCTCTATGTCGCGGTGTCACTTGAAGGCCGAGCGGCTCAATAACACCCGTGTCTACGCGTCGCCCAGCTCCTCTAACACATTTCACCTACGTCACGTGTGCACCCGCCCTGCTGCCCTGGAGCAGCCGTTACCGTGACAACAACACGTGAGGGAGGATGGAGATGGCGAGCGGTAACCATGGCAGCCGGTCTGTTAGGGCCCTCTCTCGTTATCGCACGCGCAAGAGGCCGCACACGTCTGTACAGTGTGCGGCACGTTCGGCTGAGTGCGGAGGCGTGTGTGTGTATGTGTGACACATTTCTACGACCCGAGCCAATCAAGGAGCCCAGAGATGTAGAGTGTAACGTGGAGAATGAGGATATGAGGTCATCACTCTGCTGCTGCCGGAGTCACCTCCTGTCACACAACCTATATTTCACACAGGCCAGTTCTCTGCTGTTCTGTTTCCGGAGAGGACATCAATAATTTGTGGTCTTTCTCTGTGTCTCTCTGCAGACACGGAGATATATACTGTACATGCTCTGTCAGTTGTGTTGCACGCAGAGAATCCATTAGCGGAATTAACACACATAAATGTTTCATCATTTTCCATCTCACACTTATCTTATATCACGCACACACAAAAAACCCAGTGGCCTCGATTAAATGCACCCTGCACGCTCCAGTATGTTCACCAGACGGTCTGCAGGGGGCGCTCTGCAGCAGGGTGGGTGTGGGACCCGATTAGGAGATTTAACTTGTCTAATTAATTTAAGTCGAGTTTTACAAATCATTGAGGTCCATCACATTTTTCATTGGAGCTAAACACCAGAGTAAAAAGCTCCACATGTGAGACATTATTCTGCAGAAAACAGATTTCGGTCCATGTCAACCTTTATTGTGAAATCACAGTAGTTAAAATGAATAACGATAATGTTGTTTCAGCCGATTTAAACAGAGCAGGCGCCCAGTGTGTGATGATTAATCTGTAAAATCAACAACTCTAATATTGTCGGGCTGAGCCGGGGGTCTGGGCTGTTTCCAGAGAAAGGGTGGAGGACCTGAGAGGACGTCACATACTGAGGACACATACTGAGGACACAAACTGAGGACACCCTAACTAAATAACTGTAACAACCTCTGCATGCTCTGTACATGACGCCCTCACCCCCATTAAACCAGGAAATTAAACAGATGAAGGATGATTTATGAGAAAGGAAATTTAAACAGAATTCTCTTTGGAGCTGATCAAACGCTGAAATCCCTCCAACACAATCTCTCCATCTTTTCTCTCCATCAAACAGATCATGTTGTTTGCATTTAATATAATTATTAAATGAGTCATTTCCAGTCTGACTGACGTCCTCGGCCGGGCACTGACGGCTGCGGTCGTAACTTCCATCTGTTTGTGAAACGTGCAGAGTGTCCAAAGCGTTGATAACAAAGGGGAGTTAGAGGAATGATTGTGAACGAGACGACTGAAGAAAGAGAGGAAAGAGAAAGAGAGTCTGACAGATGGATCCCAAATGTGGACGAGAGCTGCATCGGAAAGTTACTGCAAAGTCTAATCTCCTCTATCCAACATGGTACATTCTTTTCTCCTCTACTCCTCAAAGCCGTTCCCTTCTGCAATTTCCCTCCAGTGAGGTGTCGTCGGAAATTATTTGAGTCGCACATTTGATTCATATTTCTGAATAATCTCTTTTATTAGTCTTTGAAGATCCTCTCTCCTTTTCCCCAATGGCTCATTTGCATTGAAGATAAAAACTGCTGCAGACATAAATAAATTAATGTGCAAAATGTTTGAAAGCTGCTGAAGACTGAAGCCAAGACAAATATTTGAGATCATTGCAAAACGTTTCGACCCTCTGTTGGTTTGTAAAACACAGTTTGGATAAGTTGTTTATTCAGGCCTGTTCTGACACAGTGAAGCATCGTTGTGTGATTTTCTCACAGTCAGATTTATATTCTTTACACTCACTGACCAAAAGCAACTGAAGTCAGACGATTTGACGCACATGAGATTATTGAACATGTCATTGAGTTAAAGACTGAGGAAGGAAAACAGTGGGATCAATCAGCGCAGGTGAGAGCCGTTAGCTGATGGATGCTCTGCTTTAAAAGGCAGCGGCAGAGCGTCTTCAGGGAGACACAAGGGACGAGCTCAGAGACACAAGGACCGAGCTGCAGAGACACAAGGACCGAGCTGCTCAGACAGAGACACAAGGACCGAGCTGCTCTGACAGAGACACAAGGACCGAGCTGCTCTGACAGAGACACAAGGACCGAGCTGCTCTGACAGAGACACAAGGACCGAGCTACAGAGCTGAAAAGTCGAGTATTACGAGTTGTATGTTCTGAGTTTAGTTGCGTGATCAGTAGAATCCTGCCGAAACCTGACTGGTGTGTCTCTGGCTGCTGTGGTGAGAGCCCCATGTCATGGTCTCCATGAAATAAAGATGGACAACATGTGATGAAGCTGAAATATCCCAGATGTGGGCGCTGCCATCTTGAGCTGCTGTCAGTTCAACCAGTCGTGAGTCAGTCTCGGTTCTGAGTTCACTGTCGTTCTTTAAAGGTTTCTAACTTTTTATTTCTGAACACGAGCATCAGTCATTTCTCTCTCAGCCAAAAAAGATAATCCTCACTAAAATATTATAAACATAAATTGATTTTCAAGCCAAAATCATTTGTTTTTCTCATGAGAACACTTCAAGAATATCTTCTCCTCATTAGTTTACTTCTTTCTTAACCTCTCCCTTCTTTCTCTTACTCCATCTTCCCCACCACCTCATCACTCACCTTCCTCCTCCTCCTCCTCCTCCTCTCCGTCCCACTCCCCACCCCCTCTGTTATTCTCCTCCTCCCTCCGCTGTCGTCCAGACACACACTTTTCCCCGTGGAGAGTCTGCAGTGTGCTGCCAGTCTGAGAGCTGGAGAGACACACAGACACAAAGGAGACAACTTTTAAAAACTTTTCCCTGCAACTTCTTGTTGTTTTTCCAACTTTGGATGCAAGACTACTTTTGCTTTTCTGGTTTCCTGCGAGAGTTGAATTATTTCCCACGGAAAGCTGCAATGCTTCCACTGTACCTCCTGACTTTTGCTGGTGAGTTTGTTTTAATGGTGTATGAGGGCACGGTGTTGGTAATGCCAGTTACCATGATTCATACTTACCATTCCCTCTCTCTAATTGTCCCTCTTCTCTCTTTTCCCCTGTCTGCGGTCACAGCCACCGTCCAGGCCCACAACCAACTGCTGCCAGGCTCCTGCAGCTTTGAATCCAACACCTGCGAGTACACGTCAGATGAAGACTTTACGAGCTGGACCCTGCACAGAGATGGTACTGGAAGACTTTCCCAGATCTCACTCGGTGTCTTCGCTCCTCTGTTTTCACTTCTGCAGTTTAGATGCTTGTGTTGTGGCTCTTTTAGCAACAGGTTTTGCTGTGATGCTGAGTTTGGCTGGAGCACATGGGTGAAAAGAAGAGGCCCATCTGGCGTGCGTGGATTCCAGCATCAGTCTGAACATCTGGAGTCAGTGAAATAACACATTTAGCCGTTGTGGTTGTGGGGGTACTGCGGCTGATGCTGACGAGTACTGTACACGCCCATATCTACGTAATGTCAGAGTGATCAAAGCCATCCAGATGAGGTCATCGTACGATTAATGTCACGATGTGTTTTAACGTCTCTATCATTTGCTGCGTCTGCACACGTTGATTCTTGTGTGGAGGTTTAAATCCTTGCAGCAGATAATGGGAGGGGGTCTGACTGCAGGGCCCTGATGGGGCCATGTTTTAAGAGGTGGAGGTTATGTCACTCGCTCAGATCTTTAATCGTACAAAACCCGTCCCCAAACTTAACTTACCCACCTACATTTGAAAAGCATGTTATGCAAGAATCGGCTCTGGTCAGATTCCAGAGGCTGGCTGGTAACAAGGCAGGCGGCCATACTTGGGAATACATTTGTGCAAGTGCAGTGTCAGAACATATTCAAGATTTACTTCCATCCAACTAAACAAAGTGAAGAACTGTGTTTGACCCTGTGGTTCACTGTGTGTGTTTGCAGAGATGGTCCTCCACTGTCCTGCTGCTCCACAAACTTTTGTGTCTGGTGCCAAACTCTGCTGTAAAAACTTCTCACTAATCATTTTTTCCCACCACATTTCTCTGCTCAATCCTTTCTGAAAGCTCTGCTCCTCCAGCCCGGTCTCACTGTCTCTCTTTCCTCCGGGATACGTCAACCACTTTCTCTTTTCCTGTTTCCATCCTTGTTGCCGCCGGCTCGTTAAAAAAGGTCAGAGCAGTTGGTGCGTTAATGATGTGCTCATGCAGTTCTTGCTCATTTATTCTCCTCTCTCAGTTTTCGGTGCTGCAGAGTTCAAGCTCTAACTGAATCAAGCCGTGTCATAAACGTTTTGTACTTTCTGCATTCGCATGTTGAGAAAACATGTTCGAGCATGAGGAAACGTTACGTAAATAAAAACACCATCTTGAACTGAATGTGTGCAGAGATGAGCTCAGCCCTAGTGTGTGTGAGTGTGTGTGTGTCGGTGAATACACATGTGTTTGTCAGGATGTAGGAGCCCTGAGGCGGCGAGGCAGTCTACAGGGGAAAGTAATAAGTGACAGACGAGTGAAGGATCTCTGAGCGCCCTGCAGCAGAGAAGAAGCTCAGTCGTTGTTGCAGTAAGAGCTGAGGTGGATTTCATGTTGCACCAGGTCACAAAGTGTTTTGTCTTTGGACATCCTGATGCAAAATGTCTATTTCCGTGAAAACACACATGTGATTCAGGTTTTACTTTCCTCACATCTTTTGGTTTCAGGTCACTTTGTGGCGGTGGACACGGTGGACGAGCGGGACGCTGAGCGAGGTGCAGGTGAGAGACCCTGGAGAGAGATCACAGGGGTTCTGCTGAGTCCGGCTCTGGAGCAGAGCGAGTGGAGCTGCCTGAGGCTCGTCTACCAGATCACCGGGTCGGGAAGCCTGGAGGTTCTGCAGCGCTCAGAGGGACGGAGCTTCGACAGGCCTCTGTGGAGCAGCCGGGCTCCCTCTGACAGCTGGGTCATCTCCAGCATGGACCTGCAGAACAACACTGATCTTAACAGGGTAAAATACAGGCGTGGAGTCTTTGTGGGAAAAGCTCCAGCATAAAATATAAACACATCTAAAGCGTCGCTAATGGTCTCTGACGGTTGTTTAAGGTTTATTCCATCATATGGAAACTGGATGAAACATACAGATGACGGAGGCTCAACTTTTCAACATGGAAAAAAGTTCAACCTCTGAGGAGTTGTGGCCAGAAAACGTCCGAAAGACACAATTTAACACATCATTCATCATCTGAGGACAATGAATACAAGCAAGTTTTATATAACTCCAGCTTTGCGTGTTCAGGAAATTGTGGATTTAACCTGTAATAACATTGTTCAGGCAAAAAACAAACAATCTATAAATCCAGTTTTAAATGTGATTGAGTTTAAAGATCTTTGTTAAAAACTGTAAAATAAGAGATTTGGAGCAAAAAAAATGTTGAAATAGACAAAATGTTATGATGGTTAAGTTGAGAGAAATAGTCTTAACATCTCTAGTTAATAATAATATTTCATAATAATAGTATTTTGAAAGCAGAAAATCTGATATTAAAACTGAAATTAGGTCGGATCCTCTGATGCTGCTGAATTAGATAAACCCAGAGGTGCAAAGAACAACATCATGCAGTTGTTTAAAGAAAAGACAGATATAGATTGAGATGAAGCACACAGGCCAATAAGAAGTGTGTGAAGTAACACACACACACCTTCAGCGACACACGTTATCTAACACTGGGACTAGTACAGCACTTGTTTATATTACGTGCAGCGGCAGAGTCGGCTCTGACAGGGTCACGACCTCGGTAACAGTCCGCCGGGCCTGTGCTGTGTGAGTGCCCCTCGGTGCATAAACACAGTTGAGTCCAGGCCGAGGTGGAAAAATGTTAATTGTATATCACAGGTTTATTTTTAGCACTAAAAGGTTGATGTTTACTTTTCCCCTCCACACAAAAGCCACCAAACTTTTCTGCAGACGGCCAAAATGACCTCAGTCACTATGAAGCACGATCTACTGTCACGTTCTGACAGCTGACCGTGGTCACGCCACGGTACTTCCTCTAAAGTGATGGAATGTTTTTAATTACATGGATTCAACAATCAGTGAAATATGGTCATTAAAGAAGAAGACGTTGGTGCTGAACTACATGTGAGAGATATCGATCTTCTCGTCAAGATCTAAATGTGAGACAGGAAGTGACTTAGAACACATTTTCTCCCGTCAAGTATATTTCCTGTTAATCAAGGTAAAAGGAAGTGAATGTGTTGGTTAGAGTCTGTTTGCCAACAAGCGGTTCGCTGCTTCCATGTTTGACTCGTACAATATTTATCTAATAAGTTAAACCTCAGATTTTACTCGGTCCCACATGTCCGGGCCCTGACCTCATGTTATGAGCGGGGTGTTTCTTTCCTGTGCTCTGTTTCCTCCGCTCTGAGTCATTTGACTCCAAACCTGCTGCTCACACGAGCTTGGAAACTAAATTTGATTTCTCTGTTTTTCATGCGCGACCTCTCCCTGACCCTCCGCACTGTAGCTCACTGTCTATGATGTCACAGGTGTGGCATGTCGTATATATCTCTGGGTAATGTTACCGAGCATGTGTCGTTGATTAGGTCGTCATCGAAGGTAAACCTGGACCGAGCCCGGGGAGCAGCGTGGCCATCTTTGAGATCCACATCAGCCCTGGATACTGCCTGGGTCGGTGACTTCACACGTCCAGAGTGTGCACGGCTGCACTCAGAACATCTGGCGCAATATAAAGTTACAGCAGCACGAGTGTTGATGATGATGATGATGATTTATTTTCTCTGCCTCCAGAGTGCAACTTCGAGGAGTCTCACCTGTGTGGATACAGTAACCAGTGGAACGCCAACGTGAACTGGTATGTGGGAGGTGGTGGAGGCCAGCTCCTCCACAACAGTGTGCTCAACGACCACACGTTCAAAAACAGGACGGGTGAGTGACACGTTAACTACGACTAAGCGAAGGCGGCTCAGAGCCCTGCAGGTCTTAATGTTGGATGAAATCAGTTTTTACAGTAAAGTCATTTTGCTCTGGGATAATTTAATTTGAGGGATTTGGCTGATTCACTTCTTGAGCCGTACGTTTCCAGACTTTATCCTGATTTTTCTTTTCATGGACATTTTATCTATTACCTTTTTTAAATCTGGTGAATTTATGACGTAGTTATTTTATTTGCTGCCTTTTGAGCAACATGTATGTTACAGTTTTAGACTAAAATGTTAAAACTAGTAAATAAAGGTTAGAAATGATTTAAAATTCAAAGGTATGAGTATTTGTGTCCCTGACTCTTGCTTCCTCTCAGGTCACTTCATGTACGTGGACTCCATCTACGCCAAGACCTTCAAAGAAGTGGCCAAACTGGTGTCTCCCATGACGACGGTGCCGATGTCCGGCTGCCTGAGTTTTCAGTACCAGCGAAGCGAGGAGAGAGGGAACCTGTTCTCCGTCTTCACTCGCGACAGCCTGGGCCAGTACCAGGAGCTGTGGAGGCCGGAGTCAGAGGAGCAGAACGAGTGGAGTGAGACGCTGGGAGAGTGGATCCCTGTGCAGGTGGACCTGAAGGCCCCGTACTCTGTGCAGGTCAGCATGGGCCGACACGTCAGCTGCATGTAAACATCACTTTAAGAAGACTTTCACATAACCTCCAAACTCACAAGGTGAAACAAACACCAGCCCGGCTGTCGTGGCTGCTGGCTCCAGAAAACCATCCTTCCATGGACATCTGTGTATTTACGTGTCTTCGTTTACGAGCGCCTGTCTCCATATGTCCGTCTGCACGTCCAGGTGGTGTTTGAAGTGGCGTTTAACAGTCCAAGAGGCGGACGAGTGGCCATTGATGACATTTCCTTTTCTTCAGAGTTCTGCAGCACAGACACCGGTGAGCTGCACTCATTCTGAACAGGATCGTTTTTAATGTCACTGTCGTGTTTACCTCAGAGTGCATTCTGGGAGGAAATCCTAAACCTCCCGATTATCAACGTTTTCAAATTGAAGGAGGTGGACAAAGGGAGGACAGAGGGGACGGAGGGATGAGGACGAACAAACGAGAGATCAGATTTTACGAGAACAACAGTTTGTGTTGTGGGTGGTGAAATGAAAATCATTGGCAACGAGGGGTCAAACAAAACGTATCGTCCCCAGAACCTTAAATCTAATTATTATGTACAGAAAATGTGAAATCCAAATTATTATTATCGAGCCACGAAAGCACTGATTCCTTACATGTGTCTCCACAGAGCCGACCTTTGACCCCTCCATCGCCAGCTGTGACTTTGAGTCCGGTTTCTGCCGCTACACCCAGGACCAGGTGACGGGGTCGTCGTGGAGGAGAGTCTCCGTGAAGCCCAACATATTCAGGAACGGAGACCACACCACGGGAGCAGGTGGGGAAACAAAGAACTGATCGTGAACTTCATAACGTGAGCTTGAGGCCGCGGGAGCGTTGACATGCTCTGATTGGTTAGAAAGACGAGGCACGCTCGGAAACTTCAGAGGGACGTTTCTCTAAACTGCCGATGGTGTTAAAGGAGTCATTGGGGGCAGAGACCGAAAATGGAGCTGAAATAATTGAAATAACTCTTTTGAACTCAGATCAGCACCAGGTGTTGGTGGCGATTCGAACGTTCCCGACGAGCAGATTCCACAAGAAAATAAACGCTGTCTTCTTCCTGCAGGATCCTTCGTGTTGGCCCACTCTCAGCTAAACCCACGCTCCGGCTACGTCAGTCGCCTGCTGGGTCCAACTCTGCCCGGGAACATGAAGTTCTGCTTGAGCTTTTACTTCTCTCTGAGGGGTGAGCGCCACCACAGAACCCCCTCACTGAAGAATATCAGTTTTTTCTTTGGGCCTGTGTGTGTGTGTGTGTGTGTGTGTGTGTGTGTGTGTGTGTGTGTGTGTG